GGGTCCTCCACCCGAAAACTTTGAATTTCGTAGATGTGATTTCCTGCATTCTGGTGCATTTTAAGCCTTAGGCCATGCCCTTACCTATACCAATAAAATAACTTAAACCAGTCAATACCAATGGTCTAAAAATACAATAATAATAATAATAATAACAGTTTGACAGTTAATGATAATGAACAAGTTGCATGTTTATTATGCTCTGTGTACAGATAGAAAAAGTGCAAACGCATAACGATAAATTATAATAGGGAATACAAAAATAATAGGTTATACAACAATCTAGTTGTTTAATCAATCCCCAGCTGTATACTACATATCTTTGACAAATTGACAATTGGATAATGGATAACAGTATGTGTTGATACTAGAGAAAGAGAGAGAGAGAAGGCTCTCATAGAGAGGTTGGGACAACATTCTTGAGGGGAACACCAAGTATGAGAAGAAAGATGATTTTTTTCCCTCTTTTTTTAATTTGCATTTCTTAATTTACTCAATGAACAAACAAATAAAAATAACAGCAACAACTATTTGTTTCATACATTTGAATGAGTTACATAACAAGTCCATTTCCACCATCGTGTTTTACATTTATGTGCTTCCAGTCTCAGGTCGTGGGGTCATTTTTTCCATTGCGCATATTTCCTCCATGATATTCCTCCATTGGTCCAGATTCAAAGGATCACTTTTTAACCAATTCCTCGTTATAACTTTCTTACTTGCTATCAGCATCACTTTGAGTAGATAAATGTCTTCCTCTTTAACAACATCTTTAGTTAACAGGCCTAAATACAAAGACTGAGGGTCATTCTGTATTTTGTAACCCAAAATTTTTTCCATTTCTGTTACAATACATTCCCAGTAGGGGCGAATTTTTATACATGACCAAAATACATAGGAGTGATTGACATTGACATCCCCGCAAAGTCTTCAACACTGTTGTTCTTTTTTTAACTGTTTGCTTTTGATGAGGGGGGTAATAAAGTATATCACCAAGTTCTTCCAGCCAAATTCTCTCCATTGTCTGGAGCTAGTAGAAATTTGTTGAGAAAGACAGATCGAATGCCAATCATCCTCTGACAATTTAAGCTGCAGTTCTACGTCCCATTTCTGTTTTATGTATAGTGAGTCAAACCTATTGCAATTTTGTAAACATTTGTACACCCTGGATACATCTTTGAGGGTAAATGTCTGTATGTCCCCTTGTGATCATATCTATCAAATCACTGCCCTCTTGAGAAAGATGATTTTCAATGTCTGTATTATAAAAATGTCTTATTTGGAAATACCTAACTAAATCAGAGTTTTCCAGGTCAAATTCCCTCTTCAAGTTTTCAAAGGATTTAAACTTTTTACCCTCTGTTAATGTACACACTGCGGTGATTCCCTTGTCTGTCCATTTTGTAAATGTGCTATCCATCTGTCCACTTCTGAATTTTGTAGAGTACAATGGCCAGATCAACAATTTACAATCGCCCTCCAATTTGTATTTATTCATTATATCCCACCAAATCTTAATTGTGGTGTCTACTATAGGATTTGGTTCTATAGGTTGGTTAGATGTTTTCTCACCCAACCTCGTTTGTGGTTGGCAAGTTCCGTAGTTAAGCTCAATGTGTTTCCATTTGGAGTAATATTCTGACGAGCACCAATAGATTATACTGTATATCTTAACTGGGCAGCTAGGAAATATTCTTTACAATTAGGAAGAGCAAGTCCTCCTCTTTTTTTCTCTAGTTGTAGAGTTTTAAGCTTAACTCTTGGTCTTTCCCCCTTCCAAATAAATCTGCTCACTTGTTTATCCCATTTATCAAATTGAGTTTTTGGTATACAAATTGGTAATGAAATGAATAAGTACAGCAATCTAGGCAACATGTTCATTTTTATCACCTCTATCCTTGAGTTTAACCCCCTGAGCCCGACGGCGTCGTCGACGATGCCACACGTCACCTCCGATAAATGTTTACATAACTCGATGACAGATTTCTCGATTTTCTTACCGTTTTTTCCAGCAGAAAGCTAACGAGCTAGCCATCACGGGGGTGTCTTTCGGGTCTTTCTAGCCTTTACAGAAGGTTTTCTATCCAGCCTGGAACTTGTGCTTCCTTTCAGAGGTTTTCAGCAATAAATCCAAACGCTTTATGTCAAACTTTGATAATCTTGAAGCCCATAATTCATAAATATTCGGTCATTTTTGCCGCTAGCTCGATGCTAGCGGACATCCTGGATATCACGTGATGTTTTCACGTGATGGTTTTTGACCAATTACAGGCTGATCCGTTGTAAACATTGGTGTGCGTCATTACGCATGAACCAAGCGCTGATATAGTGTAGAGAGATAGAGAGACTCACGGAGACGCGCGATTCACAGAGAAACACAGCGAAATGGACGTAAATAAAGCGCTGGTCTATTTTGGTGCATTGCAGGATGAAGGATTTTCAGGAGAACAGAGCTTTTTGACAGATGAGGAACTAGATTACCAGGATAGACCCAGCTGAAGTGCCATTTATTTATTTACTGTAAAAAAGTATTATAGTAGTATAAATGTATTATAAAAGAATAAAAAGAACATAATAAATAAAAGAATAAATAAAATAGAAATGCAAAACCTGTGATGTGGCCCTCTGTGTGATTGCTGATAGGAACTGTTTTGAGGCTTGGCACCAGTGAATTTCATGAGGCCCAAACGCCTGGACTTCTTTTGGAAAAATGTCAATATTTTTTGTTCTGTACAAGTTATAATGTTTATTCCTGTGCTCCAGGACTCCAAAGACATGAACAAACTATTTTCCAGAGGAAAATTGCTTAGCTTTTATTTATTTGTGTGTGATTTCAATAAATAATTGAGTGATTCCATTTCCGATTTATTTTTTCATTTGTCTTTATGGTCCCATAACTTATTTTACATTCAGGTGACATCAATGTAACACAAATATGCTGAAAGTTCAATTTGTCCTGAAAAAAAAGAGGTGTGTCAATTGTCTGTGCACCAAAGGGTTGATATTTTACAAGCTTTTTTAGTAAATGACACCAGACGGAAAATTTATTGTAAAAATACCCTTAGGTCTCAGAGGGTTAAATACATTACTAGTGTTGCCCATTTTGTCAAATCATTTTGTATGGCTTCATTAATCTTATTATAATTAGCCTCAGAAGAAAGATGATTTTAACTAGCATGAAACACCGTAATCTTGCTCAGAACTTAAAAACAACAAAACACAAATCAAACATACAGGTATATTCCTATTACTATTTTAATATCAAATGTGTGTGAAACATGGTGTTTATGTGTGAGTGAGAGAGTGACAGAGACAGACAATGAAGCTTATTGAATTAAGATAGTGTGTGTCTCAGAGCAAGAGAATGACAGCGAGTGTGTGTGAGTGAGAGTGTAAGAGAATGACAGCAAGTGTGTGTGTATGTGTGTGTGAGTGAGTGAGTGAAAGAAAGAGTATGACAGGGTGTGTGTGTGTGTGTGAGAGAGTGAGAGAGAGTAAGAGAATGAGCGCGTGTGTGTGTGTGTGTGAGAGAGAGAGAGGTAAATGTCCCGTGGTGCGCGTGCATGGTGCACTCCTCTAATCTTGGTACTGCGGGCGATATTTTCAGAGCCCCCAAGCCATAAAATTCGACGACGCTGATTTGCGAAATATAAATTTTTTTGCATAGCAACCGGGGAACCATTGGCTTAAATTCCAGCACTCTAGGGCTGAGCGAACTAAAGCCCAGAGAAGACAGCCTATTGGCTACTACTACACCAACATGATAAACGTAAATAAAATGAATTCAAATATCATTCTGGAGAGTTCAAAATACTTTTCAAAGTAAAATTATTATTAGCATTTAAATAACACAGAATATTTTTCAAAATGATAAATTATGATATATTTATATATGTAAAAAAAAACAGACAAAGGGGTCGGTGGGGTAGGTCAGCGCCCCAGCGCCCTCTATGGGCAAGCCGCTGCTGGTTAAGTTACAAATGTAGTGAAAATACAGGTGTCGGTCTCAACAAATACCAAAAATTAAAGTACTGATATTGGTCTCCTTCTTGAAAAAGTGGTATTTATGCATCCCTACTTAAAACATTACTGACTACATTTAATTGAAGACATTTGGACATATTTCTGTGTGTATTTGTCCATTTAAGCACACACCTGAAGCTCAGAGTAGCCTATACTTGTCCGTGTTTTGCTCCGTTTTGGATTGCGTACACAGAAAGCCGCCTGGGGAACAGTATCTCGCTCACTGCTCAATACACTTTTAACTTTACACTTCTTTTTAGTATCGAGAACATCCAGAAGGAGACTGTGTATCACATTACACGATTTGACTGATTTGAAAGTTACGTAGGAAGGGCGACAGCACACTGCTTCAAAGGAAATGGTGTTTTCATAATCATTCAAAGTAAAATTAAAATTTTTTCTAAATTAATCGTGGAACCCTAATCATGAACACATCTTCGAGAACAAGGGGGCGACTAGTGGTTTGGGCAACTTGTGTTCTTTGCATATAGGGAGGACCGGCTCTGGATATGTCATTGTCATGGTTAAAGTTAAAACCCCCTGGTTAGTGTTTGTTTAATCATCCTCTGGTGAGATCTTGAGAGATGTCATGTCTTATTTTATATTCAGTTGATTTCATCTTAGGCTGTGTGTCTGTAAGTCAGTTGTAGATTGTACAGTGGACACATATGAACACTGAGCAGTGTTCGTTTTACTCTGGTGATTCTGCTATGTGTGTTTCAGATTATAAACCAAGGGTTCTCATCTCTTGTCCTCAAGATCCACTTTCCTGCAGTGTTTAACCCTGATCAGACTCTCCTGCCTGAAACTCTCTAGTAATCCAGATGACCGTGATTAGCCTGTTCAGGTGTATTTGATAAGAGTTTGAGCTAAACTCGGCCAGAAAGTGGATCTCAAGGGCCTGAACTGAGAACCCCTGTTATAACCCCTACATGAAAAACACATTAATATTGCTGTTTGTTTTGTTCTACACACAGGTTACATCACAGTGATCTCACCGTTCAATCTTGTGAGAGTTTGTCTTCAGTTCTTCAATCCTCAAACGTCCTGAGAGAGCTGGACCTGAGTAACAATGACCTGCAGGATTCAGGAGTGAAGCTGCTTTCTGATGGACTGAAGAGTTCAAACTGTCAGCTACAGATACTGAGGTCTGAACTCAAATATTTGCATTTGATTTTTATCTTGCATTAATTATGTAAAAATCACTCTGCTAAGATTTACTCTGTATCCAATTACATTGGGCTTTTCTTCTTCAGATTTTTCACTTGTAATTTCACTGCTCAGTCCTGTGAGAGTTTGTCTTCAGTTCTGCAATCCTCAAACACCGTCCTGAGAGAGCTGGACCTGAGTAACAATGACCTGCAGGATTCAGGAGTGAAGCTGCTTTCTAATGGACTGAAGAGTTCAAACTGTCAGCTACAGAAACTGAGGTCTGAACTCAAATACTTGCATTTGATTTTATCTTGCATTATTTATGTAAAAATCACTCTGCTAAGATTTGTTCTGTATCCAATTACATTGGGATTTTCTTCTTCAGATTTTTCACTTGTAATTTCACTGCTCAGTCCTGTGGGAGTTTGTCTTCAGTTCTTCAATCCTCAAACACCGTCCTGAGAGAGCTGGACCTGAGTAACAATGACCTGCAGGATTCAGGAGTGAAGCTTCTTTCTGATGGACTGAAGAGCCCAAACTGTCAGCTACAGATACTGAGGTCTGAACTCAAATACTTGCATTTGATTTTATCTTGCATTAATTATGTAAAAATCACTCTGCTAAGATTTATTCTGTATCCAATTATATTGTGCTTTTCTTGTTCAGATGTGCCATGTGTAATTTCACTGCTCAGTCGTGTGAGAGTTTATCATCAGTTCTTCAATCCTCAAACACTGTCCTGAGAGAGCTGGACCTGAGTAACAATGACCTGCAGGATTCTGGAGTGAAGGTGCTTTCTGATGGACTGAAGAGCCCAAACTGTCAGCTACAGATACTGAGGTAAATGGTTCTCTATTAAACAATTAATACAAATATATATATTTTTACAATTTTGTCAACAAATCTGAGACAATGCCAGAAGAAGAGACGAAAACAGCATTTGCATTGTTGTAATTTCCAATTTTGTTGTAATTATGGACATGACATTTGCAGTTAAAAAATAATGCATTCAATACTAATATTCATCACCACACCAATTAACATCATCATTGGGGCTTGACCTTGCTACCTGCCCTCTGGTGCAAAAATCGTACTTTAACATCAATCTTCTCCAGGGCCGGGTTTCCCGATAACGATGTTTCTTAGCTCTTAAGAGCGCTCTCTACGTGCAAGGTTACGAACGATCGCAGCAATTCCACGTGCGTTTCCCAAAAATGCACTTAACATGAACACGCGAGAACGCGTTCTACGTGCTACTTAAGCGTCGCTATCCATTCGCGAAGTGCTGAAATATAACCTTATATGGAGTCGTATTCTGAATGTTTAACCTAATAACCGTCATTTGTTGTGGATTAGAAATCAAGACAAGTCTATATGGATATAAAACACCTATACAGGCTGACAAAATGGCTGAAAAAAACCCAAGAGAAGATAGGCTACCTTTCAAAAAGATAAAATTAATGTCTTTCTAGAGGAGATAGAGGGAAACAAAGATTTTATTTTTAACAGATTTAAAGGACACCATACAAATAAGGAAAAACAAAACATCTGGAAGGACGTCACATTGCAAACCGTGTTCAAAGATCAGGGAAGGAGGTCCGCGAGAAATGCCCAATACATGGCTGGTTTTCGTGCATGTCAGCAAGTCAATGACAGATTTTTTTGAATTCATCCCTATTTGCCCGGTCTTTAAAGCATATTTCCCAGATTACTTATTTTATGATTTTTTTCCCATTTGTTTAATTTAGATGTGTATTTCTATTTTTTTCTTCCCTTTTTAATTATTTAATTTATTAATTTACACAAAACACGAGTACAACAAAGTGTACAATCAAAACCTAGCTATAGCCTATATTATATGCTACTTACGTTGCAGTGTAATCTATTGAATCTAGATAAAAGTGTAATCTGCCGGTTGTCCTGCAGGTGACCTCATAACTCTGTCTTCTTACGATGCACTTGGGGATGTACGATTACTCCAGAGCACTCGTAGTTCTACGAAGATTTTCAAGTGCTACTTAAGTTACGATGCTTTTGGGAAACAGAACATAATATTAAGATCATTCATACAATCGTTTTTACGATCAACTTAGGCTTACGATGCTTTTGGGAAACGCAGCCCAGGATGATTCCACGCATAAAAATCCCCAGTAATGTACACTGCTCAGTGTTTATATAATCCACATTCAGAGTGTTAAAAAAGTAACACTGAAGCAGTGTAGACATTGATAAGATAATTAAGGTGAGAGAAATTAAAAATGTCACTTCAGGGTTTCACCCCTATACCTAAACTTACTACTTAGGTGCCCTTTACCTTTACTGTTCCCTGCTGGTGGAGCGACCTGCCTAAATCCAGGTTCACACTGTACGATTTTGGCCACGATTTGACTGTCAGAGACACATTTTTGAATCCTTGAAAAGATTCCTCTGCTCCTGGGTCAACATCTGAAATGTTTGATCACTAATATTACAAGTAAATATAAGAAGAAATTATGGCAGTGTGACTTTACACCGACAACCGTCAAACCAAAAACCAATAGTAACGCAGAACCCCCCACCCAGATTTCTTTTTTTGAGAAAAGCCACGATCATAATTAATGTTATGATAATGAATGTTTTTATTACTTTTAAGAATCTACAGAAAATAACAGCTGAAAATACAAACTACGCAGGTCATTATGTGAAAGAGACTGATGTGAATGCCAAACTAATGTCATGTGGACTGTTGCTGTATGTCTTTGCAGATTGTCTGGCTGTATGGTGACAGAGGAAGGCTGTGGTCATGTGTCTTCAGCTCTGAGTTCAAACCACTCACACCTGAGAGAGCTGGATCTGAGCTACAACCACCCAGGAGATTCAGGAGTCAAGCTGCTCTCTGATAAGCTCAAGGATCCAAACTACAGACTGGAAAAACTCAAGTATGTAGAGCAGGAAGAGCTTCCATTACACAACTACAAAAACACCATTACAATATTCACTTATTACAAACTAGTTACACTTTATTATAGATTACATGACTACATTTAATAAAGTTCTTACTTAGAATGTACAGAGGTTTAGCTCTAGTTATACTATGTGGTTGTTGAATGCTTCATTCTGATTGGCTGATGAACATTCAGAGGTGTGTAATTATTTTCAGTAAGCGCACAGGTAAAGTAGTTCTACCAGAAAGACTCAGGAGACAAGAGAACGACCAGGTGGTGTTGGGGAGGATGGAGATGAATACCGGCGTCAGTTTTTGCAAACGTAGTAATGGGTGTTAACTGGGCTTAAGTACTCCAATTGTCTGAGTGCTGATTGGCTAGATCTGAGGTCAATGAATAACGTGATATTAGGCTATGTTTACACGGAAACGATTCTGAAGAGAAAACTCAAAAGTGGCGTTGTGTCATCATTTTTTATTCTGCGTTTAGACGAGCGTTTTGTGTGGGAAATCCGCGTGCAAATGGTGACGCAAAAGTGTGTGAAATTCAATGTAGTATGCACTTCAGGCGGCTAGGAGTGCATACTAAAACAACACCAAGTCCACGCGCCTGCGTTCAACCTTCACTGTCAAGCAGACTTTTGCGTTTCTTCCGTTTACACGGGAACGCGGCGGTGGAGCGTTTTTAAGAGTTCCACTCTGGAGGGTGGTTTCACTTTTTTTGCATTTTTAAGCCTCAAAAACTCAGTCGCCATGTAAACGAAAGCCACATCCGATAAAATATTTTTACGTTTTCACCCGCGAGCATTTTAGTGTAAACAGGGCCTTAAAGTCTTCCCAGTAGAACTTGCACTAGAGCTCCCATTTCTAACAGAAAGACTTCGGAGGCAAGAGAACTGTAACAAAAACTCAAAAACTTTTTTGTTTCCCTTTTAATGCAATTGAGCCGCTGCTCCCCGCCTCCGTTCAGAAGAGGGTCAATCCTTTACATGAGGGTCAGATAAAGCAGCAATAACAAAACACAGCAATGATTTTACTTATCCAAAATATCTGAAAAATCAGTAGCGGAGTGCAGCCTTACAGAAAGACTTGGGAAGAGGTTGCACTTTGAGATGCACCTGGACGTTTCTGAATGGTTAGTGGATACATTTGTGTTGTGGAGTTACATTGATTTATCTCATGGACTTGCATGTACCGGCGTGTTTATCTTTTACAAACGTAACGCGTCACTATCGCATAAACAAAAATGGGCAAAAAGCAGGATTAGCTGAGGTGACTCTAACAGACAGCAGACAAAAGCTTCTTCGGCTGCACAGACCGATCGGTGACTGACTTGAGCAGTGCATGCCGGCTAGAAATTTTGTCTGACTTGAGACAGCGCTGACGCCACATGATTATGACATATGCCATCAATGTACGCGAGCGATTCGAGAGCTGCCGGAGGACTGCGGCTGCAAGAGCTCTGCTGTTTTTTAACGATTGGCTGGATTCACCGCATGACAACCATCACATGTGTTTCATGTTTATTCCCACACCTTCAGTTCCACTAATGCGCTCAGATCTGTTTTAAAGCAGTAAAGCTCTTTTCATGCAGTCACGATGTTATATTTTGTCATGTTTATAAAAAATAAAGCTGAATAAAAAATGTAGACCCCAATACACTGATAGTATAGGCTTATTTTTTACTTTATTCATGTACAAACAAACGCTGTATTAAGCAGAACTTATGAAGTATTGAATGAAAATGTGTCTGAAGAGTCTGTGTAATTGATTACAGAAAGTGTAATTTGTGGAAGCAGAAAGTGTCCGACTCGCGTCTCAGTTTTCAGCTCCTCCCGCCTGCAAGCAAATCTCACCGATGGGTTTCATCCAGCCGATGTTGAACACACCTAAACACTAGTAGTGACAGCAGTGTTACCTGTCACTGTTGTGTCCACACCCTTATTTATGGAGAACTTTAAGGCTTAATATCATTTAAGTGGATGAGAAGTGACTGAAGCTAGAGAAATGCTCTTGAGAAGCTGATGGGCCTCATGTTTTCTCCTTTGAAAGTGGAATACAGCAGAGCCGCACGAGACCGTCACAAGCTCGTAAATTAGCCCTCAGTTTCACCCTCAGATTTGCTGTATCCTCCGCGGATTCCTCTTTTCCTCCTTCGCTTTCTCCGCGAGGTGTTGAGCGGCCACCGGCGGATACCGTGCAGAGCGACTCGATTTGTAGAAGGGGAAGTCAATGTCCAAGGTGTGAGAGTTTGTGAATGAGTCCACAACAGAGATGCGGATGTCTAGGAGAGCTTGACGGGTGTAGACTAGACGCGTACAGCAGGTTAGACACAGCAGACAACCAGAGAAGAAGACACCAGAGCAACAGACGACAAGACAAGCACACAGGAGCCATCTTGGTTATGATGACATCTGATCTGTGTATGTGTGTGTGTGTGTGTGTGTGTGTGTGTGTGTGTGTGTGTGTGTGAAAGCAGAGTGAGTGATGTGAAACTCAGGAAAACACTGATGATGTTCAGACTCTTCTCGCACTGCATTCTGGGAGTGACGGAGACCGAGCTGCACTTCCTCTCAGAAATATAAACGCATCAGAGACCACTATTACCCCAAATATTAATAACATATTTCCCCAATTTAATCCAACCCAAAAACTTTGATTCTTGGTGAAGAAGACAAATGATCCATTAATGCAGCGAGATTGTAGCATCTCCTGAGGGACGACCAGAAACAACCAAACATCTAATAAACACACACTCACAGCCCAAACACACCATCACACACACACACACACACACACAAACACACACACATACACAGATGCACTTTCTCTCAATTAAATTAAATTCAGAAAACTTTATTACATTTAGTAAATATTACATTATTACAATATTATTGTTGTTATACATACAATATAA